ATTTTTTTTTAGTAATTTGTCAGGGCAGACATTCGGATAAAAGTAGCAAAATTTACACAATATATTATTGTGTGCTTAAGCCGAGTGAAAGACGCACAGACAAGAGAAAAAATGAAACTTATTTGAATCATAAAATATACCATTCAGTTGAGAATCAACCGCAATTTTTATTTCCTAAAGAAAAAACATTTAAGAAAAAGGCAAGTACTCGGTCGGGTAGGTATGTTTCATGAACGACATTAAACATCTTACATCACTTGATCTTATCATACAGTTATCAATATTAATTATGAACAAAATTCGACCTTATAGATGTGCCGAACATATTACAGATCTGTATAAGTGTTAACAGGAAATGCTTCTGTCTGTCTGTCTGTGTATGTATGTGTGGTTTTGAGAGAGAGATTACCTACGTTTTCTAATGAAAAAAATAGATCTTATAGATGTGTCGAACATATTACAGATCTGTATAAGTGTTAACAGGAAATGAAACTGTTATGTTTGTGTATGTATGTGTGTGGTTTTGATAGAGAGAGAGAGGGGGGAGGGAGGTAGTACTTTCATTATTAATTATTAATTATGAAAAAATTAGACCTTATAGATGTGCCGAACATATTACAGATCTGTATAAGTGTTAACAGGAAATGCTTCTGTCTGTCTGTCTGTGTATGTATGTGTGGTTTTGAGAGAGAGAGATTACCTACGTTTTCTAATGAAAAAAATAGATCTTATAGATGTGTCGAACATATTACAGATCTGTATAAGTGTTAACAGGAAATGAAACTGTTATGTTTGTGTATGTATGTGTGTGGTCTTGATAGAGAGAGAGAGAGGGGGGGAGGGAGGTAGTACTTTCATTATTAATTATTAATTATGAAAAAATTAGACCTTATAGATGTGCCGAACATATTACAGATCTGTATAAGTGTTAACAGGAAATGCTTCTGTGTGTTGGTGTGTTTATGCGTTTGTGTGTGTGTGTGTTTGTGTGTGCATGTGTTGTTGTTGAGAGAGAGAGAGAGAGAGAGAGAGAGAGAGAGAGAGAGAGAGAGAGAGAGAGAGAGAGAGAGAGAGAGAGAGAGAGAGAGAGAGAGAGAGAGAGAGTACCTGCGTTTTCGTCGGACGTAAAAACATTTTCCGATGACATGAAATGTTTTGTTAACAAAGTTTTGCCCACACCGGGTGATCCCACGAGTAATATCCGAAAATATGATGGCGCAGCAGATGATGTTGATGATGAGATTGTTCCACTGTCTTGAGAAGTAGTACTTGGTGTTCTTGGGCGGTTGATAGATGGAACAGAAATTGTAGCTGGTATCACCTCCTGGGAATCACAGGAAACGGCACACCCAGTCCAGACTGAGGGTCCAGACCATCTCTTCCGAAGAGTATCCCCTTTGTTCACAGGACCTTTAGGGGTCATTTTAAATGATCGAACCATGGCTACTTCTCCGCAGCCTTTGTCCACAGTTCTATGGATGTCATTGAATGAAAGAGAAAGGTGTGAAGGATTAGAAGGCATGCTGTGTCGTCTGTGTACAGCATCTTCAACAGTCAGGAGATTTGTTTTGTTGTCATGTACCACAGAGGAAGATCGGAAAGAAGTAAAGGAACATGGATTAATATCACCTGCATAGTATTTCTCCGACATCGTGTTTTGCTTTAACTGAGATTCTTGTTCAGCTCAACATTTAGAAATAAGATCAATAATCTCCTAAAATGAATTTGCACCACACACATCCGATGAATTATTTTGTTTAAAAATAAACTAAATTAATTTGCTTGTATTATGTCAATATTCCAGTAAATCATCTAGAACTTTAAATTTTCTGCTCTTCGTAATATTTTTCGCACTCCAAAAAAGCCGGCAAAGTTTCTAGTCTATGTAGCAAACTAGTGAATCTTGTATAAAGCTGGAGAACCTAGCTACTTAGGAAGCGAACCTGTTGCTTGCTATTTGACAAGCTGTCATTTTGCACATGACATCAATGTTCTGGGATCGATCAACATCTTGCACGTCACTTTTACCAGTTGTACGGTCAGGTTGTTTATCCACGCGCAATGCACTTAAGTATATACCATCGTGCCATATAACACGACTAGTGTCAAATCTCCGAAGAAGTAATATATGTGTGTGTGGGAGGGTATATCACATAATATTTGTACCGGTATCGGACAAATTATTGGTAAACAAACCGTCAGAAGGAACATTATCCATAATTTGCAATTTTTTAAAAAAGTTTAAAAGAAAAAATTCTTTTAAAACACAGCTGATCCGATTTTTTTTTTGGTACTCACGGCTGAGCGGTACAACTTACAGATAGTCTTTGCCCAGTACTTGCTCAATACGCACAACACGGCCTACGCATCAAGCTGCGAAATTGTTCAGCCACTTGTCTATAGTGGGGTACGCCCCCAAAGAGATTTGGAATACTGATCCTTCTTATAAACACACTACTGGTAATGAAAAAAGGTCTTCATTGATTTTCGCAGTTATGTTATGTGTGATTTAAAAAGAACGAACGCTGCTGATGGAAAAGAACTATCAAAAGATATAGCATACAATATATATTTGTTTTAAAATGGCATCAAAGAAAAAGGCAAGAAAATATTTAGAAAAGTTATAGTCTCTCTCTCTCTCTCACACACACACACACACACACACATATATATATATATATATATCTATATATATATCTATATATATATCTATATATATATATATATATATATATATATATATATCTATATATATATATATCTATATATATATCTATATATATATCTATATATATATATATATATATATATATATATATATATATATATGTATATATTTATGTATGTATATATATATATATATATATATATATATATATATATATATATATATATATATGTATGTATACATACATATATATATATATATATATATATATATATATATATATATATATATATATATATATATATATATATATATTTTATAACAATCATTACCTTTTGTGTACTGAAAGCCAACCATGTAGTTCTATTCGGATTTGAGCCCAGTACTTTTGCAGCAATGATAAATAGTTCTGCAATATCTGGTTTACTGGAACGCTCGCCTCACATTGGGAACCTGTGTCAAATACCATGTAACAGGCTATTTCTATTGGTGCTCATCTCTAGTAAATATAAATGTGAATTATTTGTCTGGCTTACGTGCCTACTATTTAGAATTCAGGGATCAAATTGTAAAGTTTAATGACCAATATATTATGGGGAGGGGGTAAAGGAAAGTCTACAAGCATCAGTGTTTGGTTGTTTTGTTGTTTGTTTTAAATGTATGGAGCCGCTAATTGTGCCGTAAATGCTCACAAATCCTTCATCTGTATCTTGTACAATGCACTTTCAATAGCTCAGATATTATAGTGCGAATTAATTTTCAGGCGGAGAATGCATACAATTATCTTGATAATTAAGTAACCAAGAATAGGAGTGGGATAGAACAAAACAAAAACAAAACAAAATTCAATGTGTTTAGTACAAAATGCTATGAACATTCACGAGAGAGAAAGAACCTTTCTCCCAATAGAGCTATTTACATTTCGACTTAACGAAATATTTCCTTTGTCAAACGGATAATGAACTATCCCTTTTGTGTCATACAGATATTTAAATATTTCCATTATGACAAACATATAATGAACTATCCCTCTTTTGTCAAGCAGATAATGAACTATCCCTCTTTTGTCAAGCAGATAATGAACAATCCTCTTTTGTCATACCGATATTGAAATAACCTCAATGTAGCATACAGTTAATGAACTATCCCTCTTTTGTCAAGCAGATAATGAACTATTCTCTTTTGTCATACCGATATTGAAATAACCTCAATGTAACATACAGTTAATGAACTATCCCTCTTTTGTCAAGCAGATAATGAACTATCCTCTTTTGTCATACCGATATTGAAATAACCTCAATGTAGCATACAGTTAATGAACTATCCTTCTTTTGTCAAGCAGATAATGAACTATCCTCTTTTGTCATACCGATATTGAAATAACCTCAATGTAGCATACAGTTAATGAACTATCCCTCTTTTGTCAAGCAGATAATGAACTATCCTCTTTTGTCATACCAATATATTAAATAACCTCAATGTAGCATACAGTTAATGAACTATCCCTCTTTTGTCAAGCAGATAATGAACTATCCTCTTTTGTCATACCGATATTGAAATAACCTCAATGTAGCATACAGTTAATGAACTATCCTTCTTTTGTCAAGCAGATAATGAACTATCCTCTTTTGTCATACCGATATTGAAATAACCTCAATGTAGCATACAGTTAATGAACTATCCCTCTTTTGTCAAGCAGATAATGAACTATCCTCTTTTGTCATACCGATATTGAAATAACCTCAATGTAGCATACAGTTAATGAACTATCCCTCTTTTGTCAAGCAGATAATGAACTATCCTCTTTTGTCATACCGATATTGAAATAACCTCAATGTAGCATACAGTTAATGAACTATCCTTCTTTTGTCAAGCAGATAATGAACTATCCTCTTTTGTCATACCGATATTGAAATAACCTCAATGTAGCATACAGTTAATGAACTATCCCTCTTTTGTCAAGCAGATAATGAACTATCCTCTTTTGTCATACCGATATTGAAATAACCTCAATGTAGCATACAGTTAATGAACTATCCCTCTTTTGTCAAGCAGATAATGAACTATTCTCTTTTGTCATACCGATATTGAAATAACCTCAATGTAACATACAGTTAATGAACTATCCTTCTTTTGTCAAGCAGTTAATGAACTATCCCTCTTTTGTCAAACAGATTACAAAATGCAAGGTGTTTGGCATAAAATGATATGAATATGCATGAGAGAGAAAGAACTTTTCTCACAAAACAGCTATTTACATTTCTTTTAAATGGAATAATACCTTTGACAAACAGATAGTTCTATTCCCCTTGTTTTATACTGATAATAGACCGATCCGATGGCCTAGTAGTTAGAGCATCCGCCTCGGATGTGGGAGGTCGTGGGTTCGATATCCGGTCGAGTCATACCAAAAACTAACAACAATGGTACTAACAGCTACCTCGCTTGGCGCTAAGCATTAATAGGTTAGTGTTAGACCTGGTTGGCCAGGTGTCAGGATAATGTGACTTGGTGAGACATCATGCTACATGTCTGCGACATGATATTCCAGACATCACTATAAACTGCCACACTGCAGACAACGTAGCGATATGACTGAAAAAATTGTTAAAGCTATGTTGAAAATCATAATCACTTCACATCATACTGATAACAATAAAATGTCCTTCTTTTGTCATATAGATAATGTATAGTTTGATGAGTATGAAAGTTCATAAGACCATTAAATTTAATGAACTATTGAGATTTTAAGTTCAGCCACCTGATAAATTTATTTCAATTGAATACCACTTGAGAAAGCTGATTTTGTAAACTTTGGAAGAACTTAAAATTTGGGAATCACATTGCCTGTTAATTGAGTTTTATCTCGGTCCCCTCCCCCCCCCAAAAAAAAATACGATGGCTGAACGTGACTCCAAGATCAGTCAAATATGTCATCAGCTTCAACTGTTTATCATGGTATGTATAAACGTATAAACGGTAACTTTAACTTGACCATAAATTGCATGTTTACTCTTAGTGATTAACAACCTTTTTTTAAGTTGCACAATACCAAGACATGGCATGCTGCCAAAATTACTGAAATATTACCAGACAAAAGCAATAAATAACTTGGCAAAACGTCAACTTAAGTGCTGTCTTACGCATAAGAACCATGCTTGCAGTGTCCATTGTCTATTGAATGCTTTAGAAATGGAAGTTCATTTAGAGAAATAAAAAAAGCAAGAACAGGTGAACATTTTCCCCGACCCATTCAAATCAAACTTTGAAAGTATGCATATATTTTCAGCTTTATAATATATTTCGATTGATTATACATTTGTGAAAATAAAATTCAGTTTTCCATCAAAAGAGTTTTTCAACAATTTGTGTAACAATTAAGATTTTTCACTGAATAAAACAGACACGCCGTAATGAAGCCCAATGCAGTGGATCAGCAATTTATGCCACAATGCAGCATTTATCTATTTAATCAACAATGTATGGCATAATGCAGCCCTCCTCACTGAATCAACAATTTCTGCCACAATGCAGCATTATCTATTGAATCAACAATTTCTGCCACAATGCAGCTCTCTCCATCGAATCAAGAGCCTGGTAGTAATCAATAATAATATAATAAAGTTCACTCTTTTGCAAAAGTTCAATCATGTCAGATGTTTAAAATTAAATCTCTGAACTATGCCGATTTGTAAATTTGTAATTTTGCCCATTATTCACTATGCAAACAATGTCATTTTGGAAATTCGTTTTAGCTTTTCTTCAGATTCTAAGCAAAAAAGCTATTCAAGGCAATTAAAAAAGTAATTCCCCGTAATTTTCAGAATTTTAGACAAAAATAGAAGCAAAAAATATATAACAGTCCAACATACTGAAATTAGAGTGCCAAAAATAAATTAAACAATTTAGTGAAAATATACAATACTATTAATTTGGACAGTTTTAAAAATGTATTTTTAGGCACGTTCACAATAATGGCCTCCTTTTTTTAAGAACTCTTTTTCCCTTAAAGTGTTGTTTGCTCTGATAGGTCTATTGATCTCACATTTATGGTCTAAAGAAGCCATGTCAGCAATGTAAGCATGCATCAATCACGATGAGAAAGATACAGATATTACGCACTGTCACGAATATATTTACATTTTTCCCCAAATCAGAATTTCCCAATAAGCACTTGCATCAGCTGATGCAAGATTGACGATCTTACTGATGATTTAATCCAGATACCGTCTAAATTGATTTTAATAGTCTTTGGAAGAATTAACTAATACACGTCACTTTTAATCATGCACGTGTGAAAAGGGGTTGGGGCAAGACGGAGAGGCCTCTTTTCCCAATATTAGTGATTTGGTCCGATACGTATTTAGAACTTGAATTTATGATTTATTTATGGCTTGTTTAATTCTTTTTCAACTGCCTGGAAATACATTCATAATATTGGCTGACATTTACGAAGACTGCAAAATGCTATCAATGCATCGATATCAATATTAAAACCACTAAGGCTGTCAAACATGAGAGTGTCTGACGTTTTATAAGTCACTCTTTTAATAAACAGAGTAGTGTTTTACAAAATTTCACATTTTTCATTATGCATTTATGATTAACAACAGATAAACCGGAAGAATAGATTGACTTTCGATCAGAGGCCACTGTCCCTGACACGTGCTGCAACGGAAACGTTTGCTGTTGAAACGTATTCTTTCGTGTGAAATTAACTTTAATTAGCTCATGCGAAAAATAAAAATAAAAAAAAAAATTTAAAAATTTAGCAAATCTCTCAGATTGAGGCCTATGGCTATCGAATTAGCAAAAGGAACATTATTTTAAATTTTGTATGAAAACATCGTCCCAGCATAGGAAACAAACGCAAGATATCAACTGACCATGAACCGGATTCAACGGCACTGTGTATATGAACCTGATATCTCCAGTTTTACCTCCAATCTTTTATTTCAGTGGTTTATCCAGCACTTTTTGCAAAGAACAGAATTGGATATGTTCAAATTGGTCAGTTTTGTTGTTGTTGTTTGTTTCTAAGTAGGGAATAAGCAGGAACAATAGCACTATTTCAGTCAAAATTAGAACAGAATCAATACAAGTCAGATAGGCAAAAGATTGAAAATAGTATGAGACAATATTCTTTGCTATAGCAAAAGTCATAAAGTCATGCAGGCGCATTACCTCGAATCAAAATAATAGTTGTTTAAAAATTTTATACTAAAATGGCTTAACCAAGGGTTATTTAAACCTGAGTGTTAAATGCTCTGCCCCTAAAATGTCATTAAATAAATTTCTAGAGAAAAATTGTTGATCGATAGTTATTTTTACGTCGGTAGCCAGAGTTTAAAAACGATGATGTCAGGTTTTAACATATAAAAGGGTAGGATGAATTTGTTTCCAACGCGCGCTGATTTCATTGTGACATCACTGCTCGTGACATTCAATCCGATTACACTGGGTGACACCTTAACGTTCAAAAATACCCATATAATTTATTATTGATCATCGAAAGGAACATGAGGACCCTAATGATATGTAAAATTGCCATTTAATGGTCTGTGTAATCAAATTCGAGCAAATTGCACCCATTAGTGAAATAGTCGGTTCTGAACATCTGCATGACCTGTGTGGCTTCTACTATAAGACAGAAATTGGTCAGGTGGTTTTTGAGATGACTGACTATGGACGACTCAAGACGGTCACAGGCAGAGTGACGACATACAAATCTTCACTAGCCAATGTTCCGATAACCCCTATTTACACCTTGGCGGCTCGAACAGCTATATTGGTGCTTTGTCCTAGCGACATCTATTGGATTTCATGTGTTGCCTGCCTTATATGTTGTTGTTGTTGTTGTTGTGGGGCTTAACGCCATTTTTCAGCACAAGATAGGCTATACATGGCGGCCAGTATTAATAGTGGAGGAAGAAACTGGGAAATCACCGGAATGAACCACCGACCTACGAGAAGCTACTGGCAAGCTTTTTAACATATCCACATTCGCCGAATCCTAGACTCGAACTCACGCAGACAAAGGTGAGATGGCAGTGATCCGTAACGGACAGCGTTTTATACCACTCGGCCATTTGGGGCCTCTCCTGCCTTAGTATGTATTGACAAGCAACCAATAGAATGGTGCATTGTATATCGGCCACAAAAGGTGGTGGCAATTGGTCTAAAAATAATATTTTATAAGTATAACATCGAAAGTATGATTGTGTACATGAGCGTAGCCATTAGTGTCTATTTGAGTGAAAGGTATTGTGCAAACACGAACCGGCATTGGAAAAATACTGGTTTATTAGTCCATTCAAGTTGGGTGCTCTTAATGTGTTGATCAAGCAGGAACAGTGTTCAAATTTGAATAATTTAATTTTGATTGGATGCCGTAGCTTGCCATAGAGTAAATTCACTTAACATTATGGACAGGTGATCTAAATACAAAAAAATGAGAGGAAAAATTGCGAGGTCATTGCGAATAAAAATAGAAAACTGGGATGCTGGAAAGACTGATTAAGTCCAAATCTCAATTTTGAAATAAAAAATTTGATTAACGTCATCTTTAGTCCCATTTAAGACATTATATAAATGCATACCTTGTATCGGAATTATAGTTCAAAGTTCCTAGAACGAGATGAAAATGAAGCGAACATAATGAAATATTATTAAATAGCTGCAGATAGGTAGAATACAATCAATTTCGTATGCATATTTAAATTTCAATTGATTAATAGAGCTTTCAAATTCATCTTTATTTTTATAAAAAAAGAAGACTTTAAACTCGTAGTTTAATACTTGACTTGCACAAAAGTAAATAGTCCTAAAATGTAAGCATATAGAATGTTGGAGAATATAACTAAGAAAAGATGCTGCTGCTTGGCCTAGTAGTTAGAGCGTCCGCCTCTGATGCGGGAGGTCGTGGGTTCGATCCACGGCCTAGTCATACCAAAGACTAAAAATTCTACTAACAGCTGCCTCGCTTGGCACGCAGCATTAAGAGGTTAGTGTTAGGACTGGTAGGCCTGGAGTCAGAATAATGTGACTGGATGGGACATGATGCTACATGTCTGCGGTATGATGCTTCTGTGCTAGACATCACTATAAACTGCCACATAGCAGTAGCGATATGACTGAAAAATTGTTAAAGCTACGTTAAAGAAACCAAATCACACATCTGTCATGTGCTGAAAAATGGTGTTAAGCTAATAACAGCGACAACAACTTTTATCGATCGCAATTGAAAACATGTACATTTATGATAGATTCATAAAGGCAATTTATTAGTGTCTGACACGCATGATGCAAAAGTTATGCAAAAACAATAACAGAGTTTCTAGATAAAAGAAAGCGGAAGTTGAAGATTAAAAGAAGAAAGGAATTTCTGGATAATGGATAAATTTACGTTTGAATGTTGTTGATTTTGTTTTCCGGGCAATACATCTCTCTCTCTCTCTCTCTCTCTCTCTCTCTCTCTCTCTCTCTCTCTCTCTCTCTCTCTCTCTCTCTCTCTCTCATACACACACACACACACGCGCGCGCGCGCTGGCAAACATACAAACTGATAGAGATAACCACTTTCCCCCTTCTGTGTCTCTGTCTGTCTGTCTGTCTGTCTCTCTTTCACACACACACACAAGCACAGACATGCGCAGACACATACGCACACTGATAGATAGATAGACAGACAGACAGACAGATAGATAGATAGATAGATAGATAGATAGATAGATAGATAGATAGATAGATAGATAGATAGATAGATAGATAGATGGATGGATGGATGGATGGATGGATGGATGGATGGATGGATGGATGGATGGATGGATGGATGGATGGATGGATGGATGGATGGATGGATGGATGGATGGAAGGATGGATGGATGGATGGATGGATGGATGGCTGGATGGATGGATGGATGGATGGATGGATGGCTGGATGGATGGATGGATGGATGGATGGATGGATGGATGGATGGATGGATGGATACGTTTATTACACAAATAAAAAACTTTTACTCATATAAATAAACATTCGACTCTTAATGAGTCTTTTTCAAAGGCATATACAGAACAGAGACAAAACAAAAAAAAAACACAAAAATGTTGTGTTTGCAAAACTCGACGTGGCTGTTTCTACTTGAATTAAACACATGAATTGTGCATTGAGACATCGTCAGGATACTGAAAGGGCTGTTATTCGCCACATGATTTGTATTCTTTATATATATATATATATATATATATATATATATATATATATATATATATATATATATATATATATATATATATATATATATATATATATATATATATATATCTATATATATATGTGTGTGTGTGTGTGTGTGTGTGTGTGTGTGTGTGGAGAGAGAGAGAGACGTTGCATAATAGATAATGACTTACTGTACATATTTTCCATCTGTAGGGAAAATATGGAATTACACCTTTGAGCTTTCTACATTATATTATTGGTGCTCACTTCAAATACTATACCTTTTCAATAATCGAAGGTGTGCTGAAGATGGAAATAGGATTTATCCTTTGAATAAAAGGACCCTTCAGATACGTCTACATCAATCAGTGTCCATGATTAATTATTAATAAGTAATTAATATTTTGTTCGCATTAAATGAAATTCACAAACCCGAAGCACATAAATGTCTGCTCGATACGCCAAAGTGCATATAGGGTTTTCATCTTGGTTAGTGAAGGTGGATTAGAAATGCAAATTACGTTATCTTCAAACTTGGACTTTGGCTGTAATTTGTCTTATTTTTGTCACTTTCCATGCACCGATTTAATCGTTATAATGTTCTGCATAGGTCTGTCTTTGCCAGAAAATTTATCACTATTATAACTTTTTTTTTACCTTGGACTATTGCTGAAACGAAAATGAAAGGACTGGTTATTAATAGAACCATCTTTGAAACTACGCTATATACTGAGACCATTACCTATATACACCACGTGTACTCTATGCCATTTGTCCAGTGCTAGTTGGTTTGTTCCTTTATTAACATTATAATTTTCCCCCTTATGTACCAATGTGTATCCGGTATTATGATTTCCGCTAGAGGTCGTTTCTAGCAAGATGTATTAAGGTGCCTGGTTTACAGATCATATTTGCTTTTCATGTAATATACAAAATTCTGATCTCAGTCCATCCTTTAAAAACTCATGTTTATATTTAATGCAAAGTACTTAATTCCGCGGTAGGGATTTGTGTGTTGAATTCAAAATCATTCTTTGAAGACTGATTTTACCAAGATAAAAATTTATATAAAGACCGGTTTGGAGATTGTTTTTCATGTCTGTGCGGAGTAATTTAAAGATATTACTTGTTTTTTATACTAGATTTAAACCTTTTACGTAGAAAATGACAAATACGGAACAAAAGAAGCAATCGTTTAACGAGAACAGCAGTTGATGTTTCGTTTCAAAAAATATTTCGTTCGTGTACCAAAAGGATAGGAGACCATTTAAAAAACAAAATTTTGCTTTACTACAACAGCACTAAAAATAGAACATACAAAAACTGTCTGCGTTTACTGTTCAAGGCAATATTCATAGGCTGGTTCCATCAATATATTTCTGATTCAAAGTTGCACTAGAATATTATTTTATTACTGATTGTTATGGTGATGAAAATGTTAGCATTGATGGTCAAAACAATTTGAAAAGGCATTTGATTAGAGGAAAACTAAGACAGACTTCTGCTATTAAAATGGACTCTGTAGAATATCGTTCCAGCAGGGGATAAAAGCCTATATCAAATCGCTAAAAGTATTCAAGGAAATAAAAAAGAACGTGGTGTATTCTAAGGGAAAAAAATGTGTGACAGTCTTGTAATCGCAACCGCAAACGATTTTTATGACAAACATTATAAAACAAAGAATTATATGAGATGGGGGATTTTTGTAAGACCTGAAAAAGATGGAAAAGTTTAGGCAAAAGAAACGAAAATTATGAGGATAATAACTGAGTTTTATCATATCTCCCAAGTTCAATGAGAAGTATATGTAATGAAAATAACGAGGCCGATGAGTCATATTGTGACAAATGTATTAAAGACAGTTAGGCAGTCAATCAGTCGGAACAAGTACAAGTTTTATTATTTCATACTTTAAAGCCTTAAGAATGCATTCCACAAATGTTAACTCACCCCAACACAAATTGATTCATGATCTGAAAGTGTTGTTTATCATGATTAATACAGCGGTTCTGAGCGTACAAATTATATTTTTTCATTTGCTTGTATAATGTTTCATACACGAGTTATGTTGATTCAATACACCTTTGTCCATTACCTTTTATAATTAATCATTCTTTTGTTTTGTTTGTGTAATTTTTCTTGGCAAGACAAGCCAATAATTATAATCAGGTTCCAACTCGTATCACCCTGATTTTGATTTTATGAATGCATCTTCCACCCGTTCTTCTCGTTTCTTTCAAATTTGCTTGTATTTTTGTCGGTTCCACTTGCCTATCATAGAATAATTATTCATTTCATAAGTATTGAATGTAACTTACGCGCTATTGTTTCAATTTTTCTCAGAATTATTTCTCTTGTTTTGCCGAAGTTTAGGAATACAAGATTGATTCTGATCTTTTCATTTAAAAATTGCAAACAATAATTGCTCATTGAAAGTTAGTCACACTTAAAGTGCTTTTCTCTTATAAGGTCAACAACAGCATTCGTCTACTGCATTGGCAACTCATTTAAAGCCCGTATCATTTATATTTTCTTTAGATAACTTCGACTTGAAAATTAGTACCAGACTTGCAGATATAAGGCAGATGTTTTAATCCTACAGCTTGAATGGTCTGCTTTACACACGGGAAAAATAAAATACGTCTTTAAGATTTGAAAACATTCCCTGGTAAATTAAAGCAATTGTTTAATCTGCTGTTTCGAAGAATTTGCCTAATTTTGTTATGTTTTTAGCAATTTTATCATAACAATAATGGAAGTACAAAAATGATTGAACAAATCATTTAAGGTTATTTCGAACTCTCTTTTCATTAAAACCAATATTTACTAAGATCACATGACTGACGCGAGAAATGAAAGAGAATAAACATAAGATACAAAAATGTATACATGCTAATGAACTATTATAAGAAAAGTATGAATACAATATTGTATTAGTGATATATTGCAAATAGCACGTATTGTTAACAGAAAGACATTGTAATAATGTTATATAGCAATTAGCACGTATTGATAGCAGAACTATATTGCACTAGTGTTATATAGAAAATGGCAAGTATTGATAACAAAAAGATATTGTGTTAGTGTTATTTTAGCAAAAAGCAAGTATTGGTAGCAGAAATATATTGCGCTAGATTTATTAAAGTATAGGTAGCAGAAAGATATCGTATAAGTGTTGGATAATAATTAACACGCATTGGTAGCAGAAATAGATTGTGTTATTGTATTGTGTTATATAGCAAATAGCAAGCATTGAAGGAGATATATATTTTATCAGTGTTAGATTGTAGTTAACAAGTACTGATAGCAGAAAGATATTTTATTAGTGTTAGATTGTAGTTAACAAGTACTGATAGCAGAAATATATTATAATAGTGTTGGATTGTAGTTAACAAGTACTGAAAACAGAAAGATATTGTACTAGTGTTGGATTGTAGTTAACAAGTACCGATAGCAGAAAGATATAATAGTGTTGGATTGTAGTTAACAAGTACTGAAAACAGAAAGATATTTTACTAGTGTTGGATTGTAGTTAACAAGTACTGATAGCAGAAATATATTATAATAGTGTTGGATTGTAGTTAACAAGTACCGATAGCAGAAAGATATAATAGTGTTGGATTGTAGTTAACAAGTACTGATAGCAGACATATATTTGATTAGTGTTAGATTGTAGTTAACAAGTGCTGATAGCAGAAAGACATTATAATAGTGTTAGATTGTAGTTAACAAG